GCCCCCAACAATCTGGGTCCTCATTTTACCGACCTCGGAAGGATGGAAGGCTGAGTCAACCTTGAGCCGGTCAGGATCAAACTGCTGGCAGTAGGCAGAATTAACCTGCAATACTGCATTCTAACCACTGCGCCACCACCATTCTCGGTGGGTCTGAGGGCCCCGATTAGTAGCTAAAAAGAAAAGTATAGGTAGCTCCTATATATGCTATTATATGTTCCATGAAAAGATACAGATCTAATTATGAAATTTTTTTTGCTTTCTGAGAGATTTCTTAAATCTAAAGAGGTACTTTGTCTATTTCAGAAACAAGGCTTAAAATCTGGAGACAGCGAGTTCCAGTGCCGCTTAGGCATAAAAGCCATCTGGGTGACTTTAGATCCATCACTAGGAGATGGCGAGTTCTAGCCCTTCCTTGGGCACAAAACGCTTAGTTGGGTCTCTTTGGGCCACTCACCAAAGAAGCAGCGAGTTCTAATCTTGCCTTAGGAATGAGAGCTGGATGTCAAGGCTGCTAACATTGGATGTTCTTGCCTTGACAACATATGGAGATGCAGCCTTCTTCTTTCTTATGCTTTACTCTTAGAATTAGACGATACTGGGGAGGAGGAATGTGATGGGAGTTAGTTAGACATAACAATTTTGTAATAGTGTGTGAATTCAGGGCTTTTGAAATAAGAGTTGATAAGAAATGGCTGGGATGGAGTAATGGAGGGAAAGTCTGCATTTCAAACTAATTGGAGAATGTGGTTTATGACGGTAAATTAGAGGGGGGAATTGTGCTTTGATACTATGTGTTCAGGGGAGGGGAATTCAGCTTTTGGCTTCAACTACGTTAGTGCCGATGCTATGCTACTCCAATAAAGATTGCCTCGAAGTTCTCTGAAGAGTTTCCTCTGTCGGAACCATGACACTGACTGGATGGCTTTAGGCCAGTCCTTCTCTGTCAGCCCAACCAGCCTCAGTGGGTTGTTGTGGGAAAAATAAGAGGAAGGGGTACTAAATATCTTTTTGTTGTCGTAAGTTATTTCTCAAATCAAGGCAGGATATTATTTTTTTTTTTTAAAAAAGGCTGTCTTTTCTCTTCATCAACACAGCAGTCGTAATACTGGAATACACGACTTTCTAAAGATGCCTGAAACAGAACGATGTGTTGCACAGGGAGATCAAGGTGTGGTTGTTAACTTTCTCAGGATGTCCTTTGCTGAAAGGCTCCAAATAAAATCTATCCGCAGGACCCAGAAGGGAGCTGCAGGCTGGTGTGTGCAAACCCGCCTTGCCTTGGCACGGAAGGGAGATATTCTCAACCTAGCCAAAGTGTGAAGAAGACACCGCCTTTTGATCCGGCTCTTAAGTCCCTGCCCAAAAGCTCCACTGCTTCAAATGAGGTCATTAATCAAGGGCCTTCCACTGTTCTCTCCTGGGAATATCGCATCCACACAAGCTCCCTTAATCCCTGTTAAATCCTCCCTGTCCATCTTTTCCCCCTCCTCCTTTGCCCTCGCCCTGTCCTTCAGCATCACCCTCTGAAAAAGCAGCCCCATCAAAGCTCGTCCCCGGATAGACATTCCACAGCCAAAAGGGTGGTTTCGAAAGAAAAATAATAATAATAATTTTTTTCCCCGTGGTTTGTGTGTTTAATTTATATAAAAACCGTCACTTTTAACATGGACTGTACAAAGCAATTAAAAACAGGAGGAAGAGCGTCCCACAGCAGCTGAGTTTTTAGTGTTTGATCTCGGATCACATTCTCGGAACGTTAATAAAATCAGCTACAAACAAACCCGGATCGGATCAGCAAGCGTACTGGAGAAAGGCACCTCTGCAAAAACCTGACATGATTAAAAAAAAAAAAAGCAACAGGTGGGGGGTGGAGAGAATCTGCAGAGGTGAGGTTGAAACAATTCTCAGGCGATTCAAGAAGAAACTTAAAAGAAGAGATCGGGTCCCGACTCTCCATCTGCAGCATCTTTCGACTTTCTGGACGGGGAAACAGCCGCGCCTACCTCTTGGGATCAAAGGAAGAGCGGCGGGGCGTGCTAAGTGCCAAGCCGCACGGGCGAGGATTCCCTGTAACTCTTCAGAAGAAACACACACACAATGCACATTCTCGAGCTGTTTTAGGAAGGAGCTATTTTAAAACCCAGGCTGGAAAGATGGCTGCCTCCGGGATCACCTGTTTCCCCACGTCGCTCCAGAATGCCAGGCCTTTGAGTCAGCGATTTGTGTCCTGCTCCATTTTGAGCAGGCGGCAACAGGTGGCCAGGGCCGGGCGGACATACCCCACAAATCTCCCGGGCTTCTGCGCTCCCTGCCCTTGGCTTGGCACTCGCTTTCTTCACAGGCCAGGAAGAGGCCGACGGAGGCTTTATCTCCCCTGCCCTTGACCCGTCCCCGCCACCTGGCTTGAGCTGGTCCGAGCGCTGGGACTCGCTCGGTCCTTGGTGCCAAGCGATCTCCGAGCAGCCGAGGGAGGCATGGGGGCGCCAACCAGGCTCTTGTCCCAAAAAAAAATAATTATGGAACAAAATGGGCGATCAGCCGTGCCCTCGGGCACTGAACAGCATCATGCAGCCCGCTCCATCTGTGGCACAGTGAAGGGCCAATTCCTCTGGCTGGCGGCTGCGGAGAGGGAAGGCATCTTGGAGAAGACGCTTAACGGGGAGCCATGGGGATTGAAGTGGTGGGGAGGGAGGAGAGGGGGGTATTGGGTTGGGTGAACGAGCTAAAACCCCCAAGAGGAGCCCTTGCACGGGTGTCATCAAAATTCAAGTGCTGCCTGGCGTTTGTCGCTTTTCCTCAGTTTCCTACCGAGTTCTTTCCATGTCAACCCAGGTTAGAAGGCCTTTAGAGCAAGGCTCTCCAGCCCTGGCAATGTTAAGACTTGTGGACTTCAACTCCCAGAATTCCTCAGCCATCATGGCTGGCACGGGAGTTAGAAGGCCTTTAGAGCAAGGCTCTCCAGCCCTGGCAATGTTAAGACTTGTGGACTTCAACTCCCAGAATTCCTCAGCCATCATGGCTGGCACGGGAGTTAGAAGGCCTTTAGAGCAAGGCTCTCCAGCCCTGGCAATGTTAAGACTTGTGGACTTCAACTCCCAGAATTCCTCAGCCATCATGGCTGGCGGGGGAGCGCTTGGAGTTGAAGTCCACAAGTCTTAACACTGCCAAGATTGGAGAGCCTTGCTTTAGAAGACTACTAACTCAGGTTGGAAGAAAAACCCACATCCGCAGAGGAAACAGCTGGCTGATGGGAGACATAAAACCAGCCCAAGCCAACCGCTGGCCAGAGGGCACCAGAAACAGCCCAGAAGCCCCCCCCCCCCCCCCCACACGCACAAAAGAGCAAAACTGCAACTCGGTTTGAAGGAAGACTCTGCCATGGAACTACTAGAGGACAACATTGAAGGAAGCGGCTTAATGGACAGACATGATCTGGTCGATTAGGGGTTTTTTTTAGGCCGCCTCAGCTTGAAGGTTTGGGGGCCAGGTGCACCTCCTTCCAACGTCCCTTCCAGCTTTCAAGAAATTTACACCTCCGCCTGTTCTTGGGAGAGACTCCCACCACTCCAGGGCCTCTTGGCACAAGATGGAGCATGAAGAACAACGGAGTCCCTCAGTTGCTAAGGTCATCGTGGAGTCTCCTCCAAACACAATCTGGATCACAACCCCAGCAGGTTGGAAGACCGTCAACGCAAGCTGCCGTTGACCGAGCCGATGCCAAAAGCATGCAAATATTTCCGCACGGCCCAACAATTGTGCGAAGGAGGTTAAATCGGGAACTCTGGGTGGGACTTTGCCCTCCAGCTCTCAACTATGCTTAGCCAGGTGGGAGAATATTCCCTCCCTCCCAACCACCATCTTTTCTGACTTGTGAATTCTGATCTACCTGACCCTTTTGCCTTCCTTTCCTGGAAGGCAGAGAGGGCTCCAGCGTGACCTGCCGCTAACCAACTCCAGATGTTGACCGGCATTAGCCCCCTCCCCTCCCTCTGGCCGCCCCCACAAGCAGGTAATCCCATTCAAGCCTAACTTTTGCTGTCTGTCTGAGCTGTGCACTTGCTACCAGGAATGTCTGGAAAACTATTTTTTTAAAAAAAAAAAAAGGCAAGGCAAGGCAAAGCAAAGCAAACCTTCCCTCCTTCTTAAATCTATTCATCTTCATCTATTCTTTCCTAGAAAAAAAAGGAAGAAAGGAAGAAAGAAAGAAAACTCGCTCAAGACTCCTAACAACTCTCCAGGGTGTTAGATCATTTCACCTCCTGACCCCTGCCAGCCCCCCACCCACCCTCTGACTTCAATTAGCCCCAGAATTCAAGGCTGAGCGCTGCTATTTACAAGATCCGTGGCCTTGGCTTAAAAAAAACAGACCAGAGGTGCAGCGTGGGGGGGGGACAGCGTGGGGGGGGGGACAGCAGGCAGATTTCACATGGTGAGCTAATTTCTTTATAAATAAAGCCGAAAGACATCAAGTGGCCTGCTGCTTCCTCAGGAGCCCCAGGCAGCCATAGTCTTCGTCCGGTCGAAGCGGGACTTCGTCTGGGTCACGTCGGTCCAACCGGGGTTTCCTTTCGTGCACGTAGCACCACCGGCAATCCCCCTTGGGAAAACCAAGGATTAAAGGGGCAGCACGCTGCCCTCCATATCAACACCCCCCCAAAAAAACCCTTCCCCTCCGCCCCCAAAAAAAGAAAACCCAGAAGAAGAAGAAAAAAAAAATTCACGCCCTGGAGGCTGCTTCTCCTCTCCTGGCAGAGAAGGGGAAGACCTATTGCATTCTGGGAAAGCTAGCACGGTGCGCCCCGTCCTTTCCTTCCGCCTGGGGTCCCGCCACGCCGAGCCGGTTCTTTTGCAAACCCGTGGCCGATGCGGTGGGCGTGTGGCCGTCGAGGTGACAGAGGAATGGGTGACGTGCGTGTCGACATCTATACATCGGCAAGCAGGTGCAGGTGCATGCGGTGGGAGGAGACCTCCCCCCCCTCCCGGGGGTGCCTCCCCCGCTAAGAGATCTTGCAGTTGTTCCGCGAGCAGTTCTGCGGCGGGCTCTGTGGCGGGCGGATGGACTTGGAGCGCTTCAGGCTGTTGCCTTTGCTGCCGCTGCCCCCTCCGCTGCTCGCCAGGGAGTAGGAGCGGCCGTGCATCATGACGGCGTTCATGCCGTTGGCCATGGAGAAGGATTTCAGGTGGCTCTTGATGGTGACCGGGAGAGGCAGCTTATCGATCAGGTGGACCGGCGTGCAGGAGACGATGGCCCGACAACAGAGGTCTTGGAGGCTGAAGACTGGAAAGGGGCGGGGAGGTGGGAAAAGGAGGAATGAAAAAGGAAGACGGTCTCATTCTGGAAGGCTGAACACAAGGAGTCAAGAATATAGTCTAGGACGGTCCGGTGGTTAAGGCACAGGGGCTAGAAACCAGACGACTGGGAATTCTAGTCCTGCTTTAGCCATGAAAGACAGCTGGGTGATTTTGAACCAATCACTAGGAGATGGTGAGTTCTAGTCCCACCTTAGGCATGAAAGCTGGCTGGGTGACTTTGGGGCAATCACCAGGAGATCGTGAGTTCTAGTCCCGCCTTAGTCATGAAAGACAGCTGGGTGACTTTGAGCCAATCACTAGGAGACTGAAAGTTCTAGTCCCGCCTTAGGCATGAAAGCCAGCTGGGTGACTTTGGACCAATCACTAGGAGATTGTGAGTTCTAGTCCCACCTTAGCCATTAAAGCAGCTGGGTAACTTTGAACCAATCACTAGGAGATCGTGAGTTCTAGTCCCGCCTTACCCATTAAAGCAGCTGGGTAACTTTGAACCAATCACTAGGAGATTGTGAGTTCTAGTCCCGCCTTCGGCATGAAAGCCAGCTGGGTGACTTTGAACCAATCGCTAGGAGATGGTGAGTTCTAGTCCCACCTTAGGCATGAAAGCCGACTTGGTGACCTTGGGCCAGTCACTCTCTCTCAGCCCAACTCACTTTGCAGGGTTGTTGTGGCAAAAACAGGAGGAGGAAGAAGTCTCTGGAGAGGACCATTAAAATGGCTTCCCTGGCTGGAGATGGTGGGAGGACCAGCCTAGTTTAGAGGTGTCATGTATGTGAGAATGACCTTGAGGGACATTAGGGAAGGACCAGGTAAGAAAGGGGGAGCCCTCCATGGCTTATTAGCCAGAGGAAAAAAACTAGGAGGCACCCGCCCTAACTTAGCAGATGTTGGGAGATTTGTACTATCAGGCTTGCAAGATTCTGTTAACTTAGCCTTATAATAAAGTAGAATTAACTCATCCCGTCTTGTTCCCTGTCTGCTTGACTTGGAAGGGTGACCAGAAGTGAGCAGACATGAGGTGGGAGGACAGCCCGGGCAGAATGTAGTCCAACTGGACAAGCTCTGGCAACCTCGAGCAAACAATTCTGACCTCTGGCCTCTTCCCAACAGCTGGACTGGGCTCTACAAGCAGGAGAGGTGCATGTCGGTGAGAACTGAAGACCTTGCATTTTCTGCTTCACTCAATGAGCTCAAGGGTCTGTTTCATGCAGCTGGCCTCCCACTTTGGAGATGGGATGTTTGCCCTGGGGCAGACATTAAAGGGACGGTGATGTCCAGGCATGGTTTCTAAGCAGGCTTTACGCAGCATCCCAAAACAAATCTAATGAGATCAACTGAAGCCAAATTACTACTAGTGAAGCAGAGATAAATTCACTCCCTTCTCTTCTTCCTCTTCTATGCCCCCTGTACATCCATGTTCCTGGATTTACACCTAAGCAGCCAACTCAAGTACTTTGGCCACCTAATGAGAAGGAAGGACTCCCTGGAGAAGAGCCTGATGCTGGGAAAGATGGAGGACAATAGAAGAAGGGGACGACAGAGAAGGAGGTGGCTGGATGGAATCACTGAAGCAGGAGGCGTGAGCTTCAATGGACTCCAGAAGATGGCAGAGGACAGGAAGGCCTGGAGGAACGTTGTCCATGGGGTCACGGTGGGTCGGGCACGACTTCGCAACTAACAACAAGCCAACCAGCAGCCTCTCCTGGTGCAGACCCTAAATGTTCCCCACTTTTCAATGCGTAGTTTGGCCTACGGGCCTCAATACAAGAGGACAGGAGAGAACATTGCAAGGTCCAGAAAAACGGACGTTGCTTGTGAATAGACTTTCCGTCCTTTCCGTGGACCAGAAATTCGTGTCCAGCCCAGAAATTAGGCACTGCCACCTTCTGGTTAAAAGATGAACTGCACCTCAGAAGAAGACAAGCAAAGATAGCTTGCCAAGAAACTTTTGCAAAAACTAAGATGGTCAAAATGACCACCAAGGCCCAAGCGTTTTAGGGCTTTAATTATGTATTAATCAAATCTTATTAGTCAAAATTCTTCTTGGCTGTGGGGGCCTGCCTTTATGGAATATCCTTCCTCCCTGAAATTAGATTAGCTTCATTTCTTTTGATATTCCGGAAGGACCTCATGAGATAATTATGGTATCGGGCCTGGGGCTGCAAAGGAAGTGGAGATGTTCTTAGAAGTTTCCACTGCTGAGCTGGCTGTTTTTATTCCCTCTTTCTTTAGGTACATATCTTGTTTTTATAATATAATGTGATTTCTGTATTTTTTTTATATCCATGCTTTCGGTTTTGTGTGTGCCTTTGGTGAGATGGGAACCATATACATTTGATTAAAGAATACGTAGATAGCTAGCTAGTTAAATGGCTTTAATCTCTTGGAATAATTTGAAATCTCACAGGATGGCTCTTTTCATAAAGGATGCTATCGTTCACAGCTGTCTCCCAATCCAGTTCTTTATATAAAGGATTAAGAATTTGTTAAGCCAGTTTCTGCAGCTAAGTTAAAGGGTCAGCTTTGCTCCAAGGACATATGGGAAGGAGACACGACCTATAAGGCAAGACACAATTTTGAATACACAATATTCTACCAATAGAAGAGAGTATTTGTGACTTAGAGCTGAACTGTGGAGTCCTTGGTGGTGAGCTTGGTATTTTTTTTGCGGACGTTTCCTGACCCAACTAGGTAACGTCATCAGTGCTAGAAGGGAGTGAGGTTTGCTTATACAACATTCCCAGCGACAATGACAGGGCAAGCCAGCCACTTGGATGTAAACAGAGGGAAAACTCCACGCCCTTCTTGCTCTGATGATGTGATCTAGTTGCTTAATGAAATGTCTCTGCAAGAAAACAATCAAGCTCAGAGGATACCTGCACAAAAAAGGAGGGAACTTTGGGGGGGGGAAACTAAATTTACTCACCTCTGTTGGGCCTCCAGATCTTCTCCATGCCGTGTCTCATCAGCACAATGCGGGACAACTCGGTGAAGGACTCAATCACGTTGAAGTTGCACAACGGGCTGACTTCAAAGAAGGTCATGCAATTCTTCTCTGCGTAGGATCGGGCCTGCTCCGTGGGCACCTGCCGCTTGAAGGCCAGGTGAAGGCGGTTGCCCACCAGGATCCGGGGCACGCCGGGGGCATGCTGTAAGGAGACACAGAATAAAAGTGATGGACGTGGGTACTCGTGTGCCATCCATTAACTGTATCCATAGCTTTTTGCAGTTGCAAATGATCACCCCCCCAAAGGTGCTTTTCAAAAGGAGACTGGACTTCCCTATTTTTTTTTTCTTTTTAAAGTTTTGCTTCTCATCGGAGAAGTTTCTTCACTTCTGGAACTGAAGAAGCTTCTTGGATGAGAAACGAAAACTGTTTTCTAAGAACGAACGAA